AGATAACCAAATTTAAAATGTTTTTGTTAGTTACCAAATGTCTTGCCTTAAAAGCATTTGTAAGCACATTTTTTGGTTATATTTGAGAATTTAAATTACTGGTTTTTATTCCTTAACCAGTCTTAGAAACAAACTGCTGCTTACATATGCATCACTGTTACGTACTCTGAGTACCCTTGGTTGATTAGGTATGTTAGGGTTTTGCATTTACTATGGAGATAAGTAAAGATTTTTTAAAAACATGGTTATATCTCTAAAGAAAGACACTTCTACTGTCAAGATATCTCACCATTCCCAAATTTTATCTGAACAAAAAAATAGTTGTTTCTCACCTACTGTGCTTAAATAGCTAGGTGATTTTTAAGATGTCTTTGCTGAGGAAAATTTGAGAGCTTTTGTTATAAAGAATTCTTGATTCAACAGTCTCAGCTTTCTTGGGAGGCAGTAGGATTCACTAACTACATTTATCCAGATGAAAGATCAACAAATCCCACACGTGGGGAAGACTTGGTGACACATGCTAATCTTGTGTGCCCATTTGGTTATAACAGACTGACTTAGTGGGATTTTAGCATTGGAAAAGCAGCTCATTCTGTCCCTGCCCTCCTAGGGTGCCAAGATATGGTACCAATGTGTTAATTTGAGAATTTACAGCTATATTAATAATCTGAAATGTGATTGCTATAAATTGGCACATATGTAAGCCAAATAATCAGTAATTTGTGTTATAAGAGAAGTTTGCCTCTGAAACATCTGTCTTTACCATAGAGATGATCTTGCCAGTGGGTCTGAAGTGCTCTTAAGTTTTTTGATACTATGCATCCATTTTTTTATTCCACAGTGTCAATTTGGGCACAGCCAGCTTTTGTTTCTGTGACTCCTCTTTTTCTGTTAATTTACTAGTATGTATTCTGCCTGAAATCTCTTAATTTAAGGTAGCTTGATAAGCAAGACACATTTGAAGGCTGTCTGGCTAGGAGTAGTTTTGATCTCAGAAACATGACTTACTTAACCTGTTTGCTGTGATCCATTAATCTCAAAAGTGAATTCTGAGGGCTAATTTCCTTTATTTCCGAGTTTGGGGAAGAAGCCTCACTTAAAACCTGTTTAGTAGTTGGTTTAACTTCATTTGCCTGTTGTTAAGTAAAGAGTACATTCTTTTTTAAGCTGTTTTCCAGCAGCTTCACTTAGTTTAAAAACTTCACATGTGCTCATTTATTATCAGCAATAATTGGGATTTTGTTTTCTGAATGTACTCAAAACCCCCAAGGACTATTGAATAGGATGTTTGCTGATAGAAAATCCAAAACAGGAAGATGTGTATATGGCATGATTCAATTAGACATTGAATTTCAGCTGAGTATCTATTATAAGGAATTATTAATAAAGTTTGTTTATTGACAACATAAATCCAAGGCTCTAACATGTCTTGTTAATGTGAATCAAATAACTTTCAGTCCCTGGGAGATGTGGGAAATAAGGTCTTTAATGTAAAAGTTACTTTTTATTTGGATGACTCCATTTTTTGTATGGCCACTGGGATCAGATTGTCCATTTTTCAGTCTCAACACCATCACGTAGTAGCTGATGTCTTTGGGGAAATCGCGTGACTTTGTGCCTGGATTTCCTAATCTATACAATGTCGATAATAGTACCTGTTTGTTCCGTTGTGGGGCTTAAGGCATGGGTGATGGAGGAGGGCTAAATAGGATAGGTGGCATTGAAGAGAATCCTAATAGAAGTACATTTGGGATATTGGAGAGAGTGATGAAGCCCAATCCAGGTACAGTAAACTTGAGTGTGTAGAACATTGCTTGCCTCCTGTTTCCAGAGTTTAAGTTCATTCTGATTCATACTTTGGGATTTTCTTGTGTACATTGTTGCGTCACCTCCACAAAAAGCACTGAGTAACTGGAATTGTCTGGAAGAGGGATTATCCATGAAAAATTTTAATCATAAACGGCTTAATATTGCTTCTCTCTCCTACCCCTTCTTCCCTCCGTCACCAATTTTCTTGCAACTCCCACTTGAAAGGAAATGGAAGCCTTGCAATGGCTTTCATAAACTAGAACTAGGATAGAAGAGCTACTTCCTCCAATATGCATTTTAAGCCTAAATGTAAAGTAAATGCTTTGAAATCACCATAAAAGATTTGTCTTCATTTTGTGTTAACACCAGTAAGGGCGTTTTTTTTTTAAAGCACGTAATACACTTGAGTTTTACTTAGGACCATTACCAAGTCGATTTCCATTTAACCAAAGTTAGTGATTCCATTTAGTAATTCATCCTACTCCATTGTTTCTTCCCTCTTTTTCTTCCCTGCTGTTATAATATACTGGAAAAAATTGTACATTTTTGTTTTAACTCTAGTATGACCTGCCTGTTCCCTCCTAACACACCTCCCAAAGCAATAGAGGCTTCACCAAATGAGGGTTTTTCATCATATTGCCATAAAATTAACAGGCTTATTGAGACCTTACAAATGTCCAGGCATACACCCAAGATCAGTTTTCTTTAGTCTGTCAAGTCATAATGCGTAGGAGCAATTGCTTTAGAGGCGACTTCAGACATGGTTTTTCACAAGGATGAAAAGGCATGGCAGCAGGAAAAGTACTGCAGCTTTTCCTCGGGACTGCTTGCTCTTTCAGCTTTTCACATAGCCATACACAAACACTCTTGTTAACTTTGTTCATCATCATTGAAGACACAGACTGCTTACCCCTAGTGCTTTAGAGTTGAATCACCTGGAACGCTTTTTCAAAATGCAAGTTGCTGTATTGCATAGCTGCTCTAAACTGAATACTTGTCAGTGCAAGTCTGAGGAATAAAGATGGCCTCATAGGTGATGGAGGCTTTTGATGCTCATTGAGCAGATTTAGTGTGTTTTTATCTTGGAGCTACTCATTCCACCACTGCCCGGGACTGCTGTTGTAGTCAAGCAGGAGAGTGGGTGGAGCAAGTGAATGGAATGCTGTACACTCCCCAGCCCTATACTGTAGAGCTCTGTCGCTCGCTTGCTCTTTCCCACTGTGGCAGCTCCCCTAATTCAGCCTCTGAGAAATGGCCACAGTGTAAAGGCTAAATAAAGTAGGTTAACGTTAGAGAGATGCCATTGAGTTGGAACTTCTTGTAGGATTTTACTTGGGAAGTTAAATTTCCTTTGGTTGACTGTGAGGCCCTTTCAGTATGTATTGAAGTGCACTTCTGAATGTGATTGAAAACGGGGGCAGTGTTCATGGTGAGAAGGGAGGTAGTCATAGAAGGGAAGGCAATGTTGCTACTAAGTGAAAAATGAAAAGATTTTAACACCATTAAAGTAATCAAAATCACTAACTGGACCAGTGAATTTATCAGCATCTCTGGAGTTTTGTTTGCTCTGAGTAAACCTTAATGTTGTAACCAATTACATTTATAAACTACAAATCAGAGAGGCAGCAGGGAAAGGGCGCTGAAATCAGACATCTGGGTGGCAATCCTAACTCCCCCCTACCAGTTGGAGTGACCTTAAGAAAGTTACTTAGCTCTGAGCCCTATTGTTCATTAAGTGAAACTACTACCAACCCAAATAACAGCCAGAATTGGATTAAATGATGTACCTTTATTAGCTGAGTGAATGCTATCCCTCAGTCTCCTTTCAGGACCTATACCTCCTAAAGGAAGATACAAAAGGAGCAAACACGTGGCCACTGATAGGAACATAATTCCAATCTTCGTGTCTTAAAACAGTGAAAGACAAAACAACAGAAAGCTTTTAGAACCAACACTTGCCTATTAAAAATGTACAACTTTTGAAGGTTCTGCTAAATATTCCAAGATAAAGTTCAGTATTCTATATCAATAAAAGAGGGGTAGGTTTGTTAACACCAACTTCATGTGTCCATTACTGTGATCTGTATACATAGTGTAAACTGTCTTAGTCCCTGTCCTTTCCCCATCGGGTTTAAGAGGTTTGAATGTAAAGTTAATTGCTCCAGAATCAGACATAATGATTCAGATTTTAAAGAATGCTGAAATCGCTACTAAAATTTTAAAATTAAGCCCTACTTAAAATGATCATGTACAAGTAAGTAAATAAGGAAACATATCCCTTAAGTTTTCATCGAATATGAGGGGAAAACTATCCTAGCTGGAGAGAGAGAAGGAAGGAATTCCCACAAAGACCCTTCTAAATGTGGCCAAAGTAACATCTACCTCAGCCGGACTGCATTTCGCATTTATTTCAGAAGCTTCTGGAGGAGCAGCTTGGGTTTTGACAAAGCCTGACAACTGGTGTTAGAAAACACCTAAAATCAGTTTGTAGTCCCATCTTCAAATGATAGCAGCCAGTGAAAAGAATCTAGATTTAGCTTAAAAAAATATATATAGGTATCAATGAAATTTAGTAGGTGAGTGGAGTCACAGCAACGGAAACCTTATCAAAAAAACACTTCGTCCACCAACTTAAAGTAAGGCCTAGTGATAATTCTGACAACTTGTCCATGTTCATTATTGTGAGGTTTTCCGGTATTCTGGGAGTGAAAGTGGGAAGTGACCTCAGCAGGAGGAGGAGTCCTTCCTTCAGGGGAAGTCAGCAAAGTGCCCTGGAAAGGTTTATATGCTGACCTGCTCTCCCCTTCTCAGATCGAGCTTTTATCTCACCAGCTGGCTGCGGTTTATGACCTGATTCACTCTGCAAATAAGTGAGGACCTCCAGTCACACTATAAACTACAAGGAAAGCAGCCTGAGGTGTAAGGAGCCACCAGCAATCGCCCAACTTCTTGTAGGTGGAGACTTCTAACGAGTTAGGGGAGCCCCTGATAATGAAAGGCCAAGACCCTTAGCTCTCTTCTTGTTAACTTTGAGGTTCCTGTGATCTGCAACGTTCAGACGGCTGCCTACGTAAACAGTCTAGCATTGTTCTACTCCGTTTAACTTTCCACCCTCCTCCACTTGCCTTTGCAAGAATTTAAGTGTTTTTTACCCACTAAACAAGAAAATACGATTTTGTTCTTGTTTCTATAATTTATTTTAAACTAATGGCTTTAAAATTGGCAGGCCAAAAATAAAAGGAAATAATCATATAAAGCAATAGAGATCATAGTTCCTGAATAGTCAAAACTGTAAATACTGGAATAGTTTTTTGTTGTTGCCATTACTGTTTAAGAAGAGTTTCTCATATTGTACATGGGTAATCGTGCCTGAAGCGCGAGGAGGCTATCTGTAACTAAAACCTTTCTGTTAGCGACACTGCAGGATCTGGTTAAATTGGGTTACATCAATTTTCCAGTAGGGAAACAAGGGCCCTTAACCATCATTTCCACCATGAAGCAGTACTGGAGTATCCGTAATGCAGCTGGAAAGAGTTTTGATGTCTGTTCAGTGACTTGTCTTCAAAAAAGAGTGCTGCAGGAGCTGGACAGCGGAAGGTCGTGCATGCTGGTCCCTAAGAAGGAAAAACATGTTAGAAGCAACACCCAATAACCTGCCTGTCAGCAAGATCTACTTGACACAGAATGCCTACTCTAACAACAGAAGTACAACCTCTGCCAGTCAAACAGACTTGGGTTTTTAGCTGTGTGATCTTAGGTGAGTGACTCCAGCTCCTTCCTCGTCAGTAAAATGGGGGTAACAATAACACGTAACTCACTGAGAGAATTTTAACAACGTATAATACAGCTTTTTAAACAGGGTCACATAGTAAAAATTCAAAAATTAGTACCCATTATGATTCAAAACCAGTCCCTACTTTTCCATTGTACTTCTTTCTGCTCAATTGTTTGGGGCATAATTTAGACACAGTAAAATTCACACTTTTTGATGTACGGTTTAATGCACTTTTAATTAGCATGAAATTTACTTTTAAAATTTAGAGGCAATTGTATCCAGGATTGAAAAGCCTTTTAGAGGTAGACATTTAAATATGCTTTGGTGATTAATAACCCCATTTGGGACACTCCTGAATGAGCATAAATGAAAGGGAGACAGTTATTCAATTAGCACCATTGTGGCTTAGTTTTTTTTTTTTACCCCCTCAAGAAATCAAAAAGGTTTTGCCAATGAATTAGTCAATGAACTAATGAACCAGTCAATAGTTATCTGCAGTGACCTATACCAAAGGCATTCTTTTGGTTAAATTGGCTATCTTGATAATTTTGGAAGCAAATAACCACCAAGAACAGACCAGGTGAAAATGGAAATAAAAATAAAATACTTTAAAAAGAAAGGGACCATAAATCATTTCAAAATTAAAAACCTCTCCCCTTCTGGAGGCTCTTTCTCCTACCTTCAAAATATGCATAAATCTCTTCTCTCTTCAAAAATCTTTAAATGGCTACCATTTCTACTGCCATCCTATTCTATTCCTGCCAAATTTCTCTAACTTAGCCAAACCCAGTGACTTTTCAACATTCATTATCCTAAATCCTTAACATTTGGCCTGCACCTCGATACAGAAATTGCCCTTTTAAAACTAACCATGACCTTCTCCTTACCAAATGTAATGAGCTCATTCTCCTTGTCATCTCTGTAGCATTTGAAGTATTCACTACCCACTTCTTTCTGAAACAATCTCTGCTTAGTCTTAGGAGAAACTGTTCTCTGTTCTCTCACCTTGGGGCAACTCCCCTCCCTTCCTTTCTTCCAGTTGTGTACTAGACTGAATTCTACGCATATTTTGCTATCTTCTCCCATGAGCATTTTCAAAAACATTTTCTTCAGCCCTCTAATTTTTTCATGGTATATATATATATATAACCAGCCTTATGATTTTCAAATATACACCTCCAATCTTAATTGCTTCCCTGAGCTCCAATTCCATAGCTCCAGATGTTTTCTTCAACTTCCTCCCCTGTTCCTCTTACTATTATTTCTAACATTATCCAGGCTCAAAACCATGAGATCCTGTCTTCCTTCATCACCAAGTACCGATTCACCCTCCTCTGAAATGTTTTCGAGTCCCCTTTACACTCTTACTGCTTTCATCACCATCAAAGTCCAAGCTCTGGATTCCTGAATGGTCTCCATTCGAGGTCCTTCTGCTGAATCTACCAGCTGACCTGCCTCCCCACAGATCTCCTCCTTTGCAGTCCCCTGCTCTTCACTGCCTACTGCAACAAAATAAAACTCCTTGGCCTGACTTGCCAGAACTTCTGAAACC